CCCCAGTGTGGGGTTTGAACTCACAACCCTGAGATTAAGAGTCACACGCTCTACCGACTGAGCCAACCAGGCACTTCTTTAGCAGGAGGGCTTAATCTGGGGTTTGTGGACTCCCCAGAGCAGTGACTAAATCTTAAAGACCAAACACCTCTCTTTTATAACATACAGTGTCTAATATCCCCTTTACAATTCTGAAATGAAATTCATGGGTAATATAACCCACCTAAACACATAATTTAAAAAGCACTATAATCTCCCATCAGGAGAAATAGAAGGAAGCTAACTTAGAATATGTATTTGTTTCCATATATAAATGAGAGGGGACGATCACACCCATGTGCTGCGAAGGGTCCGTGTTGGCCTCCAGAGGATCTGAAGTTGTGTGCGTTCATCAGATTCTCAAGGGAGTCAGTTCCCCAACAAAAGTGGAGGATCCCTAGCCTGGAGCATCTCTGAGGGGGCTCTACAGGTCTATCAGTACATGATTAGTGTCAAAATGAACCATGCAATTCATGAACTCCACTTCCTTTGGGCCCGGACCTCTGAACAGCCCCTTCCTTGTTTCTGAGGGCAGAATATGCAAAGCAGAGCATCTTGTGGTGCTTGATCCAAGGAGCTCAGACCTCTCCTCCAGCATGACTGATTCTGGTTGCTGGGACTCTGTAGTCCAGGGCAGTGAGGAAATGTCCCTCTTTTCAGAGGGACTATTGGTTCTGAAAGACCTCTGGTGCAGAGAAAATCGATAATAATTCCCACCATGAAGAAAGTGTGGGTGGTGTTTCTACCCAATGTCTAAACTATGCATTTTATCTAGGGGCAGGAAAGGGGAGAGGTGAAATTTCAGGAATAAATACACTGTTGTTTTTTTTTTTTTTGGTTTGTTTTAATTTTTTTTTTTCTCCCTGGGAAAAATGAGAGAAGACCAGGATAGGGAAAAGGCAGAGCCAGTGTTTTTGTTCTCACACTCTGTTCTCTTGAAGGGCTGTTCGACTGAAAGGGAACAACTTCTCAAAAAGAAAGGGGTTAGATTAAAAGCAGTCTGTTCCTCGGCCAAGGCTTCAAAGCCTTCTCTGCCAACCCATGCCCATTTTGAGTTTTCCTAATCTTTTATGATTACGAACGGGTGCAGTACGCATCTTTGTCCATTTATCTTTCTGTGGGATACATTCCTGTTTCAACAACTCTGTATATTTTACCTTCGCCAGAAACTGAACGGGGCTTATCTTCCCAGGGCCCAAGTCAGGCAGCAATGCAGGTCAGAGGGAAATTCCAGCTCCATCACTTCCTCACCGTGTGACACAGTGACCTCCTTTTTATACGCTATCAAGCAGGACTAATGCTGAATTCATAGAGTTATTTTGAGCAATAATATAATATATATATAGATTACCAACCCAGGGCTGAGACACTTAGGCAGCCATTGTTACCATTACTATTATTGCTGTGACAACTGCTCCTACTGATTCTGCCCCGCCAGTTTAAGCTCTAACTCCTCTGAAAAGCCTTTTACATGATGTCAGTCTATAGGACCCTCTCCTTGCAAGCTGTGACAGATGTGGTTGTCTCACTCATCAGGCACTCAGCATGTTCTGTCTTATATTTCTTTCTCTCTGTGAATATTTTGTCAGCCCAGATTGACTTAAGTTTCAGAAGGTGAGGGACCACTCCTTATGTCACCTTTGTCCTCATTACGTACCACGTTGCCTTGTTCAGACAACAAAAATCGCTGTCCTTTGTTAGAATTGCCTGAATGTCTGGTTTTCTGCCTCCCCTCAGATGTCCTGCGGTTCGACAACACCTACAGCTTCATTCATGCCAAGAAGGTCAGTTTCACTGTGGAGGTCCTGCTTCCAGACAAAGCCTCAGAAGAGAAGATGAAACAGCTGGGGGCAGTCACCCCAAAGTAATGCCTCTTCCCACAGCAGGTGTGGCTCCCGCAGTGTCTCCCTGTCAGTTTCTGTCCCTTGTAACAGTCATTTTCCCAGTACCCAGATGCCCAAAAAAGCCAGGCTACAAGAAAGACCTTGGGCTGGATTTGGGGAGCTTTCATTTCAGAATTAGGAAGAGGGGGAGCAGCAGGAGAGGGTCTCCTTGCCTCTCAAATTACTCAGGAGTCCCCAGGGGCTGGGCACCATGATAGGATCTACCATCCTATAAGCTGTGCCAACTTCACCTGTCCAGTGAGAGCTGAGACAGGAAGGGATGGGGGTGGGGAAGATGCGGGCAGGGCAGAAATTAGAAAAGCGGGGAGAGATTGAGACCTAACACTTCAGGGAAGCCAGCTGTAGGGAACTTGCTCCCAAATGAAAATGTTAAGTCTAGATCATTATGAGGAGTAGCAAGGTAGCAGGTTGCTAGAGCTATGGTGGGGGTCAAAGTCTCTTCTAGACTTTCTATCTCCAAGACTGGGACCTTTTGGCTTTTCCCACCAGGTTTCAGGGATGGCCTGAGTCAGTATAGCTCTTCCCACTCAGGGGTAGACAGGGAGGCCAACTCAAGACTTCCGCAACTCTTGGGACCCACTGGCTGTCTCTTTAATTACTGATTGTCAGTGACTCAGAGCTTCTCAGGACAGAGATTTGGTACCCAGCCACTGTCCTCCAACGCAAACAAAGCACAGGGAAATTACCTCCAGGGATCCCAGCTCCAGGATGGGCCCGGGAGGCTAAGGGTGAGAGTGAATCCTGAGGCTTCCAACGCCCCCTCCCCTTTTCAGTGCTGTCAGCCTCTCATCAAGTAACTCTCCATTTGAGCACCCCACACAAAAATGACAAGTGGGGGATCAAGACAGTAGATCCCAGTGAAGGCCTTCCCAGTCTGAGTCTCCCACGGTGCTGGCCAGCCCGCTTCCTGACTGACCTCAGCAAGGCTTTGGCAGTCCCATCTCTGTGGGAGGCGTATGGCTGGTGCATTGGGTTCCTGGTGTCTGGCGGGGAGGCTGCCCGGGCAGGAGGCCAAAGGCCGGCCCTGCATCTGGGGGCAGCCACAAATAGCCTCGCAGGGCCCCAGCCTCGCCGTCCACAGTGACAAGCAGGGATGGCCAAGGGGGCGCTCAGCGACCACGGACTGGAGGGCACGGACCCTGCGGGCAACCACAGCCCATAACCCAAAGCCACGCCCCGCAAACGAACACTGGAGAGCGCCCCCCGCCCCTCCCCCGGGCCCTCGCAGGAACTCCTTCCCCTCCGAGGGCCAGACCCCCTGGCCCAGCGTGGGGAGATGGTCTGGGGAAGCTGAGGAAGAAGGGGCAAGGCTGGCGCTGACGAGAGCGGCCTGAGGCTGCGCCGGCACCAGCCACACCGCTTAGGAGGGGTCATCCCAACCTTGGTTTACAGCGCTCTGTTAGGAAAATTAACCAATGAATAAAGCAACGTTCAGTGCACAGGGAGTGGAAGTCAATGCCCACCGCCTCGCTCCTCGCTGCCCCTCAGATTGACAAAATTTACGTCTCAGGAACATCACCTAGTCGCCAATAGGTGGGGCGCATGCGCAGAAGCCACCCGCTCTCCCCTCTAGCGCGCTTTCCCATGGTGCCCAACGGCCAGCTTGCTTCCCGATTGGCTGTCTTCCGCCATCTTTGTTAAGGGCACCAAGGGGGCTCCTGGCCGCCTTCAAGGTCTGGGCGGAGGCCCCGCCCCACTCTGTTTGTGGATACGTGCCGGAAGGTTCTAGCGCGCAGATATGTGCGGGTCTGGGGAGAACGTGCAACGCCTGCGGTGGGCACAGGGTAGGAGGGAAGCGGACGAGCGACGCTCACGTGGTGCTAGGGACCGTCTCCTAATTCCGCGCCAGCACTACTGGTGTTTCCGGAGCTGGAGGGCGCTTTTGGTCCCGAGCCCAGCTTCCCGCAAGGTCACCGCTGACCGGGCTTCCCTACACGACCATGCAATGACAGAGACGTCCAGGGCTGAAAATGGAGTCCTTAATATTGAACCAATGGCCTTTATTTTCTCCATCTTTATTTGATGATGATAAAAAGCTAATTCTTTAAAATGAGCGCCTACTGGGTACCAAGCAACAACCCTGTGCTTACGGCCCTGGGTTGTTGCAGAGATTCAAAGAAATAATACGTGCAAAGCACTTAGAAGAGAGCTTTAACAAGTGAGTGCTCAGTACATGTGGGCTACTAGTAGGTTTTACAGACGTAGCTAATAGGTGGCACAACTTGGGATTTGAACCCAGAACCACCTGTCTTTAATGGCAGCCTCTTCACTGCCTGATACCTCCCAAATCCAAAGGATTCACAGCTTTAGCGAAGTGCACTCATTGCTCACGTGAGTAAACTGAGGTCCAGCTGGGGAAGAGTTTCTTAGTAATCACTACCACCCAAGACCACTCATTCTGTTCTCACTTCCCTGACGTCTTGTTTCCCTTGCCTCGTTCGTTCCTTCGTTCGTTCGTTCGTTCGTTCATTCATTCATTCACTCACCCATTCTAGGTCATTCATTCATTCATTCATCCATTCTAGGTCCTGCCCCCAAAGAATCTTGGTCTAGGGGTTATGCCGATCCAGTTAGACCTCAGAGCTTGATATATGAACAGGGTACCTGGCAGGAAGGCACTCGAGTCTAAATATCCACCTCACCAGGGTGCTCACTGTTCACCATCCCCAGCCTCATTAACTCAGCTCAACTTAAGAGCACGGGACCTGGAGCCACGGCCTGGATTCAAATGCCAGCTTCACCACTTCGCTGGATGACCTGGGAAAGTGACTCTTTTTCTTTTTTTTTTTTTTGCCTCTATTTTCTCGTCTATAAAGTAGGGGTCCCAGGTTGGTGGGAGTCTTTAAGGAAGTAATCTGTCTAGAGTCTTTAGCCAATGGTCTGGCCAGTAGTAAACTTAATAAATGCTTTCTTATAATTAATCTTTGCAACTGTCCCAGAAATGAACACTGTGTTCCCCATATAATAAATTAATAAAATGAGGCTCAGAGTACAGTCTCTTGCCTGAGGTCACACAGCTATAAAGTGTAACTAGGAAGCGTAGCATGCCGCATTTGAATCCCAGTCTCTTTGGCTCCAAAACTAGTCAGTCGTGGGAAAGGATTGCTCCAACCACTCAACCCCAGAGAAAACGTGAAGAATATTAATCTGTAAAACCCAAGCCTGGGAGAGGGGCTTCTGTGCGCGGGGTAATTTGCAGACGCTCCCTGCTGGCGGGGACCACACGACCTGTCCTTCAGCCCGGGACCTTCAGCCGGTCCCGCCGCGGCCGACTTGAGCGGTAGTGGAAGCTGAGGTGGTAACGGCAGCAGGACCCGCTGCAGTGTCTCCTACCGAGGCGGAAGCGCCATGTCCGAGCCACCCCCACGGGATGCGGAGCGCGACCTTTTCCGGGACACGTGGGTGCGGTACCTAGGTGAGTGGGGGGCGAGGGGCACGGCAACTCCCCCACCATGTGGCTGGAGAGGCAGAGGTCGCCAGACGCCGGTCAGGGCCCTGGAGAAGGTGGAAGGATCATAGTTCTCATTCTGCATGGGCCAGAGACGGCTCAGAGAGGGCTCGGGACTTGCCCAAGGTCACACAGCTCAGGTCCGCCCAGCCCGGTCCTCGGGGTCTGTGCTGGTCAGTCTCCCAGGTGTAGGCTCCAACCGGGCAGGGAGGAACGGGGTGAGCGGGCTGCCCTCTCGGGTATGTCTGGGCCCTGGCTGTGGAGTCGGTGTCTGGACACTCATACTGGCTCTGTTTGACACTCGGTTTTCTGCTTGGCATCAATACAGATGAACATTGTCTCTCTCATGGGGTGGTAGTTGGAAGGGTAGCATGAGATAAGGCACAGGAAAGACCTGGCACATGGTGAGTGCCTCATCAGCCGACCTGCTCTTAGTCTCTGCATTGGTGCCCATGTTTCTAGAACCTAGACTGGGAAAGCAAGGGAATGATAATTGTGACTGTACTCAGCTCTCCCACAATGGTCCTAGAGTCGAGGTGGACTTAATGGTTGCCTTTTTATAGACTGGGAAACGGAAGCTCAGAGAAATAAAATCGCTTATCTAAGGTCACTCAGCTACTATTTAGCAGGCTGGGATTAGGACCAGTGCCTCCTTGTAGAGCAAACCGGCCCCAGCACTGGAATTATTATTATTATTTTTTGTCTTTTTTTGAGAGAGAGAGAGAGAGGGGCTGAGGGAGACGGAGAAAATCTTAAGCAGGCTCCACGCACAGCACAGAGCCCATCTCAGGGCTCGATCTCATAATTCTGAGATCATGACCTAAGCCAAAATCAAGAGTCAGATGCTTAATGGACTGGGCAACTCAGCTGCCCCCCACCATCGAAATCAAATGTCTCCTCCCCAACAGGCTATGCCAATGAGGTGGGAGAGGCATTCCGCTCCCTGGTGCCAGCAGCCGTGGTGTGGCTGAGCTATGGTGTGTCCAGCTCCTACGTGCTGGCTGATGCCATTGACAAGGGCAAGAAGGCGGGAGCTGTGAGTGTTGGCTTGTCCCTTTACCCCTTACTGTAGTCTAGTCCCTTTGTGATTCCATCCACAGCCTGCATGTGGTAAAATACCTGGTGCAACAGTCCAGTCCCAACAACCTTGCCTGTTGCAGTCCATACCCCAGTCCTGTTTGTAGGGTCGCGCCCCCCGCCTCCAGCCCTGCATGTGAACTAGCCTGTACCCTACAGTTCTGGATGTGAATGAGTCCACCCTCAGCCTTGAATTGGTACAGTCCAGAACCTGACAGTAGTGTGGTTCTGTCCCCACTCCCACCCCCGCCCCCCACTGGCCACTTCCCTCCCCTGGTCCAGCCTCATGCCCCTTGTCCACAGGGTTTCCCACCTCTGCCCCTGCTGGGTTAATTATCTCTTGTCCCCACCAGATACCGAGCTCCGAAGCAGGCCGCAGCACCAGGGTGGCCGTGGCTGTGGTGGACACTTTTGTGTGGCAGGCTCTGGCTTCTGTGGCTATCCCAGGCTTCACTATCAACCGTGTGTGTGCTGCCTCTCTCTACATCCTGGGCACGGCCACGCGCTGGCCTCTGTCCGTCCGCAAGTGGACCACCACTGCACTGGGGCTTCTGGTCATCCCTGGCATCATCCACCCCATTGACAGGTGGGTGCCTCTTCCAGCCTCAGGGATCATCCACTCTGTAGGTGGCGAGAAGCTCTGAGAGACGTGGGGTGTCCCTACTTGGCATAGAACAATAGCAGCGGGGGCAGGGCTGGTAGTCAGGGCTCTGAGACAGAAAGGACAGTCTGTGCCTGTGTTCTGGCAAGTACCTTGGCAGTAAAGGTACGGGTGGTGCCTTGAGGGTATGGGACACAGGACCAGTAAATTCTAGAAAGAAAACCTAGTGTTAAAGAACAGTCTGAGGCAGGCAGGAACAGGTGCACATTGGAGGGGATGGATTTGGGGAGATTTTGGTGACGAAAGCCTGACGGAAACTGGGTTAAGTAAAATAAGAATGAATTGTTTCATGAAACCGAAAAGTCCAGAGTTATGCTGCTTTCAGGCATGGCTGGATTGAGGCACCCAAATGGTGTCATTAGGGGTCTTGGTCTCCCCAGCCTGCTGCCCTTCTTCCCACACCACCCCATGTTGGCTTCACTCACTTTCCCCACTTGGGAGCAGAGATGGCCTCCAGCAGCTCCTAGCTTCCTTCCCACCAGCTTAGCAAGCCCCATAGGAAGCTTCTCATAGTTGACCAAAAAAATCCCAAGGAAGGTTGTCATTTATCTATTCTGGACAGAGTGCCCACCCCTGAGCCCCAGTTTCTCTTTTCTGATTGGCCACACTTGGGTCATGTGCCTGCTCTTAGAACCAGAGAATGGGGCCAACTCAACCAGACCAACAGAGAGTGGGAGGAGCAGTCCTTTCCCAAGGGAACACAGCTGACCCAAAGACCCTAAGTGAGGCTTTTACCTTCTTTGTGCCTCAGTTTCCCTAACTGAATAAAGAAAAGGGTGATGTCTGCCGCCTGGATGGCACTTGTGTCCTGCATCTAGGAGTCCCTTTCCTAGCCCTGATCTCCTACCCCCCTTTCCCTTCCTCCCAGGGGTCACTTGCTCATCACTATCCACCACCCCACAGGTCAGTGGACTTCCTTTTGGACTCCAGCCTGCGCAAGCTCTACCCCTCAGTGGAGAAGCCCAGCTCCTCCTGACCCCACCCTGGTACTTGGCCTGTGGGTTGGCCCACTCCCTGCTCTGGTCCAACTTCTTCCTCCTGCCAGGGGATGTGGATGCCTGGCTCCCTGGGGTCTGAGGCCCTGGCATCTGAGTATTTTGAGCCAGATGGGAACTGAGAGACAAAGGCCTCAAGGAGCGGCAGCTGCTGTGACTCACAGAAAGGGAGACCTGAACCCCATCTGCTTCCATGGAATCCGTGATACTGAGGGGGAGTGGACTTGTTTTTTTGACAGGAAAGTAACATCCTCCCATGGAGGATACAGAAGCCCAGATAGGGCAAGGAATACAGCCAAGATCACTTAGCAAGCTGGAGCCCCAGGAGCCCCAGTGGCTTGGCCCCATGGCAGTGTGGCTGGGCCGAGAAGCAGCAGACACTCAGAAATGCAGGAGTGCAGTCATGGGCACCCTGAGGACTGATTCTCCAGCTAGCCCAGCCCTGGTGCTGGACCTGCTCTGGCCTGGCTGGAAGGCAGGACAGCCCCCGGTCCAATAAATCCTCAAGAAGTTGAGTTCTCTTCTCCTGTTCTCTTGGGGATGAGCAGGGGTGTGGTGCTGGGGAGCAGGCCCTGGGGGCCCTCAGAGGTAGGAGCTGACTTCTCCGGCCACGCATGGCTCACAGTATGTCAGGTACTCCTCACCCACCAACGCTCCCCTGCAGATGCCTGGGATCCCACCCTTGGTGCTGCCAGTCTCCTTTGGGCATTGACCTCTCTGCAAGCCTCCTAAAGCACCAGCTCCTCTGGAAGGGATACCACCTGAGCCTGAAGGTGCCCAAGATGAAGACAACTCCCATATGAGTATCAACGGGGGACTCCCAGGAGGAGACTCAGGAACCTTGGAGAAAAGGGAGCGACCCAGGAGGCTGTCCCCAGGAGCACTGAAGGGGGCATTCCTCCTTGATTCTGGGCCAGGCCCTTTTTGGCTGCTAACAACTCAGAGGAGTAGAAAGATGGGGAGTGGGGTTTGGGATATGGAGCATGGGGCAGAAGCAGGCCTAGGTCCCTGTCGCTCAGCCCTGACCCAAGCCACAAATCAGTTCCAGCCGAGACCCTGGCCATGCCCCTCGCAGCTTGGGTGCAGGCTTGGCAGCTAGCCCCCTCCCCAGAGAGAACCCCTGCACCTGGATGGGGACTTACAGGGGCCTAGGGACTGGGCAGGATTGCTGGTGAGACAGGATGGGGGCTCAGGTTGTGGCTCATGCTCTGGGGGAGTCTGTAGCTACAGGGTAAATCTCTCTGATGGTGGGCCTTTCTCTGCTGCCCTTCTCATCCCACAGCAGCTGGGTTTCTTTCCCAGGCTCCCCTTGCCCTGTGCCCAGTCTCCTACTGCTCCCTCCGGCTCCCTTCAATGCTCTGAGCCCCCTTCTAGGCCCCTCTCCAGTCCTGCACCTCCCCATCTCCCCACCAGGGTCGACCCACACCTGCATCCCTATGACATCTGGGCACTGCCACCCAGTTCCCTGCTCACAGGGTCTCTACCTTGGTCACTGACATCATGGTGTAAACATGTTCTTTTCTTGCCTTGGGACAAATAGCTTCATTTTCTCTCAACTTTGAGCATCAGTGAGCAGATAACCAGGTCAGAAGGTTAGAGGTGTATAGAGGTTCAGTGGGTGGATGGCTTCAAGCCTTCCGGTGGGATATCTTTGTCTTCCCTTTGTCTCTGGGAAGTCCACTGAGGAGGCTTCCCACAGGATGATCTGGTCCTTTGAACTGAGTCAGGCTTCTGACTCCAGGGGTTGCAGAGGTGAGTGAGGGAGCCCTTTTCCAGAGCCTGGGCCCTTCTTGGGATCCCCTTCACAGTGGGAAACACTGGGGCCCCAGATTCAGGGGCCCCCTGGCAATCCCAGCAGAACCTGGTTCTGGCCTCTTCCTCCCTTCCCCCTGCCCCCACTTGGCCCCCATTCATGGCCTGCCAGAGTAAAGCCTGAAACCTCAGGCAAGTTAGCTGTGAGCTCATTCACTCCATCACTGTGGAAGCCACTCACCCCTCTGAGCCTCCTCATCCTGAAGAAGAATAACTGCGGTCCACTGTATATGGTTAATAAATGCTACCCTTTTACTGCCAGGCAGCTCCTCTTTTTCTGTGATGACCATGGGATTCTCCCAAGAATCCTGCGCAGTACCTCAGTGTTTATAGCAATGTCCACAATAGCCAAACTGTGCAAAGAGCCCAGATGTGCATTGACAGATGAATGGATAAAGAAGATGTGGTATGTATACACAATGGAATATTAATCGGTCATCAAAAAGTTGAAATCTTACCATTTGCAACAATATGGATGGAACTAGAGGTATGCTAAGCGAAATAAGTCAATCAGAGAAAGACAATTACATGATTTCACTCATATGTGGAATTTTAGAAACAAAACGAGGGGAAGGGAGGGAAAAATAAGACGAAATCAGAGAGGGAGACAAACCATAAGAGACTCTTAACTAGAGGAAACAAACAGGGTTGCTGGAGGGGAGGGGAGTGGATGGGGTAAGTGCGTGATGGACATTACGGAGGGCACGTGACGGAATGAACCCTGGGTGTTATATGCAACTGATGAATCACTAAATTCTACTTCTGAAACTAATACACTACATGTTAATTAATTGAATTTAAATTAAAAAAAAATCCTATGCAGTAGACAAAATCATCCCCATTTTATTTTATTTTTAAAAGATTTTATTTATTTATTTGACAGAGAGAGACACAGTGTAAGAGGGAACACAAGCAGAGGGAGTGGGAGAGGGAGAAGCAGGCTTCCCGAGGAGCAGGGAGCCCGCTGTGGGGCTCAGTCCCAGGGCCCTGGGATCATGACCTGAGCCAAAGGTAGACACTTAACGACTGAGCCACTCAGGTGCCCCAAAATCATCCCCATTTTAGAGATAAGGAAACTGAGGCTTGAGGTCACATAGGTACAAGGTAGTCCAGTACTCCCATACTCTCTCCACGTCATCAATACAGTCTGGCTGGTGGCAGCTGTTGCCCATCCCCCTCACACCCATGACAGGGACTCTGCTCACGGTGGTGTTGATGTCCATCCTAGGCCTGCAGTGGGTGAAGACCCACTGCCTCTGGTTCAGGACACAGAGCCTTGCAGGCATGTCTAGCACCAGGCCTAGGCAGTGGGGTCTAAGGAGTCCCCAGTGCCTACTGGGGTTTTCAAAGAAAAAGATATTCACCAATGACTCTGCCACTCATGGTTTTCCTGAGGTGGGGCTGGAGGAAATTAGTTCTCCAAGAGCAGGAGTTAGTGTTGGGTCTCCTGGGAGGTGATGCCCCTAGGAATGAGCAGGTCTTGTGCCTGCCACATGTGAACTTGGGCAGCAGTGCTGGGGTGGTGGGCAAACCGTGGCTTGCCTGGGGGCGCTGGAATCAGGGTGCTTCTCCCTTTGCTCCTTTAATGTTTGCTCAGGGGCCCAGCAGCCCCCTAGGCAGCAGTAGGGCCTCTTCTGGATGCCTGAGACCTGGCCCATCTGGAGGCTTACTTTGCACATCCTCTTGCTGTGGGCCAATGAGTGGTGTACTAGAGGTGTTCATAGGGGCCAGAACCGAGATCGTTGCCTTTTTAGGAATCATTTTAAACATAGCCATTATTAAAAATTAAATGATGGGGAGGGACACCTGGGTGGCTCAGTCGGTTAAGCGTCTGCCTTCGACTCGGGTCATGATCTCAGGGTCCTGGGATCCAGCCCTGCTTTGGGCTCCCCACTCAGCCCGGAGTCTGCTGCTCTCTCTCCCTCTGCCCCTCCCCCATTCATCCCCCCCCAAATAAATAAATAAAATCTTTAAAAAGGTTAAATAATGGGGAGAGGCTAGCACAAGGCAGCTGAGGCATGTCGGAGCGTGAAGGGCCTGATTGCTGTAATAACCGGAGGAGCCTCCGGTCTAGGTCTGGCCACGGTGGAGCGACCGGTGGGGCAAGAGGCCACTGCCGTGTTTCTGGACCTGCCCAACTCTGATGGGCAACGTGCAGTAACTAAAAAAGTACAGCTTCTCAACTCTGCTTAGTGACTTCTCTTGGGTAGCCTGAAATAGGTCACCAGGGGACTTTCTACACCATGGAGATCAACAAATCAGGGTCCGCCCGCCGTGGGAGCCAGGGGTTAAATGTTTACCAGCACACCACTGCTCTGGCCCTCCTGCCGACCCAGGAGGTGGGTCATAGCACCATCCCCCTGTGCAGAACCCCATCTAGGATCAGACAGGGCAAGTGACTTGGCAGAAGCCTCACAGTCTACAGGGTCACAGGTAAGACTCAGCCCTGCTCTGCTCTTCCTCCTCCCCAAAAGGCCAGGCAGGGAGAAGGGAAGGTGGCCTTGGCTGCAGCCCCTGCTTGTCTGGAGCCTTCATTCCAGCTTTTTCCTCCTCCAGCTGGTACCCCAGCACCTGATGCTTGGGCTCAGGCCCTTCTTGCTCACTCTTCCTTGGGTGTTTCCATTCACTCATGTAGCTTCTGGCCCCAATCCTCTGTCACCACATGCCCTATCTGTCCCCTCCAGCCTTGGATGAGGGCAGCAGCCTCTGGCTTGTCTCCCCCCCTCCTGCCGCCAGCTTTTCTATCTAGCCAACCGCTTCTTAAAATGTTCAGAACAGTGTCCAGACTCCTTGAGGTGGCTCTTAGAGCGCTTAGACCCCACCCTTGCCCCCTACCCTAAATCTTCATTTCAGCTGTTCTGTCCTTTCTGGTTTCTTGGATCTGGCATTTGTCTCGACTGGGCTTTCTCATACACTGTTCCCTCCAACTGGGACACTCCCTTCCAATCTTTCCCCCACTGCTTCCTGCAGGCCCACGCACCCTCCCCTGACTATAGCCCACTTAATTCCTGCCCCCTCAAGTACCCTCTGATCCCCTAGGACTAGCATTGGAGCCTCCTCTGTGCTTCCTCCAGCCCAATAGTTCCTCCACTGCCTGAGAGGAGGGCCAGACCCCTGTTGGGATTGGGGGCAGGGAGGCTTGTCTTCTCCCACCCCCTTCAGAGCTTTGTCCAAGAGCATTCTGGGAGTTGGGAATCCCGTGGCCACCTTCATGCAATGCTCAGCATCACCACAAGGAGGCAGCACCACAAAACATGCTCTTGTTGGCTGGTTCAAACTGCCTCCGGGATTATTGAGAA